GCTGAATGCCCTAATACTGATTATTAATAGATGCATGCCTAATTGGATTATATTTTGATTCAAAGCGGGATATAAAGCATGCGTCCGTACTGAAACAGTAGGCCGAACTCAATTGATCTAATACCCAATAATATTGTGAAAATCCAATCTATTGGGACCAATAATATTGGTCCCAATAGATTGGATTTTCAGATAGATTGGGTAACCAATATTATTGGCACCCAATATATTGTATTGGTGCATACCTACACAGACTATATTTACAGTGTCTTTCCACAAAAATGAATTACTGTACAGATATGGTTCATGTGTTTAATACATTCAAGTGAACTACATCTTGTAAGTCCTTTCAGGACCTGATGTTTTCTTGCGAAATCTTGTAATAAGACCTGAGGACATGGTCTTACAACATCGGTTTGGAAGTGACAAGATGGTGTAAGACCTTATATAACCTTGTGACAAGAAAATATGTAGAAGTCAACAATGTCTGACATAAGACTTTGTAAAATCAATATCCATATAACGCGCAGAGCACTATCTTATTCGTATATATATAATTATGACATTCGATAAAATATAAAACTTGTCTTTTCGCATTTATTGTTTTGAAAGAAAAGATATTCTTTGCACATAGAATATGAGTATGCAGAAATAAAATCGAGCGAAACGAAAGTGAATAAAAAAAAAGAAACATAAGTTCGATACTTCGAACGTCATCTTTGATGTACTTCGGTTAAAGTGTAAAAAGAAATGAATTTTCAATATAGGAAATAAAATCGTTAAATAAAATTTTCTACAATAAAGATTAAACAATCTCGCTAATTATTGCCATTAATAAAAGAGACAGTGTACTATGAAGCGATATTATTTAGTTATTTTAAAAAGTACTTGTGAAAAGAAGAAGAGTAAACAACCAAATGTTTGATCGAATAAATGTTGTTCTACTACTCGGAGTTGTTGTACTTTGTCTGGAGTTGTCATATTGAACTCGATATATTCTCCCATTTCCATCGTCGCTAAACAACAGACTACCGTCGTTTAAAACTAATAAACCAACCGGTCGACCAAAAGTAGTAGGAATCGATGGATCAAGCAAAAATCCATAAAGAAAATCTTCATAATATCCAAGTGGACGATTATTTTCCCCAAATGGAACAAAAACAAGTTTTTCTCCTGTGCCCATATTTCGATTCCATGAACCATGGAAAGCAGCAAATGCCCCATTACGATAATATTGTGGAAATGTTTTACCGGTATAAAATCGCATACCAAGTACAGAGGAATGTGCTTGAAACAAAACATCAGGTGTTTTTGTTTTATTCACTAAATCTGGTCTTTCTGATGAACCGTTAGAAAATTTTCGTCTTGGATCAACATTATTCGATGTCAAATATGCAAATGGCCAACCATAAAAATCATCTTCTTGAATTCGTGTAAAATAGTCAGGAACTAGATCATCACCAAGTTCATCTCGTTCTTGTACGGTAACATACAAATCATTTGTTACCGGATGAAAAGCTAAACCAACAGGATTTCTCAGACCATATGCATATGTTTTATTATCACTACCATTAAAATTGGCAACTTGAACAGATGCCCTAGATGGATATTCAATATCAACGTTACTTCCGGAACCAACAGAAACATATACTTTATCATTTGACGGGGGTATAATCACATTTCGTGTCCAATGATGTGTACCTTCATATTCCATTATTATCTCACCAACACCTTCAAGACGACGACTTCCATTCTGATATATATAACGTCGAAGATTGAATGCATTTCCAAGAAAAAAATAACCGTTTATAAAAGACATACCAAATGAATTATTCACACCGTTAGATGCATCAGCAAATGTTTGTATTTCATCAACGGTTCCATCATTATCATTATCAATTAGTATTGATATTTTGCTTCCATGTGCTTCTGTTACGAGGATGTCGCCTGTCGGTGTATAGGTTAACATGCGTGGAGCATTCAAACCATCTTTATAAATAGTTACAAAAAAATTCTCTGGTACATATAATGGTGCTTCTTCTGGCACAGGAACAACTTGAGCTGGTTTAGCAGCTGATGATGTATTGTATGGTGCCGGTAAACTATCCACAGTAATATTGATCGGTATTGGTTTAAACGGTTTTACCACCATTTGAGTTTCATTTATCATTAAACATCGTTGCTTTATCAAATAAATTATCGTAATTAAAATATAAAATGAAATATTTTTAATTATATTCATCTAAATAAAAAATTAAATAAATATATAATAGTTTCAGCCTTCAAGAAAAAAAGCTTTTTTTGTCTTTAATCAAAAGAATAGAATTACAAGTTTTTCTTTTGTCTAAACATATTTATTTCTGATGTTTATAATAAACACACAAGGGAAACATTGAATATGTACACCAAGTCGGGCAAGTCCATTGTGTGCTGGTTTCTCGTATACAAAATGACAAGTACTGAATATGGCATGTATTCTTGGGTATGAAACTGCTTTGATGAAACTGCTTTGCTGTAACCTTTTACTGTTTCTTCGACACTATTAAACATTCAGAATAAGAAAGAAAAAATTATGCACTCTCTTCGGTGTATTTATCGCAAAGATAATGGCAAAAGGTATAGTATACTTTTATATAATAAATGCACTCAAAATGATAACGTACTCTAAAACTAGCATTTTAAATTAAAGCAGAGTACGTCTTAAATTTGACTTTGGATAAACCCTATCCGCAGTAGAAGACCGTCTGTTAATAGTAGACCAGCATCTATTGGTTGGCTAGCCTAAAGTTTGTGGGTTGCAAGCCGGTACAGAGGGCCATAGTCTTTTAATTCTGCTGTATTTTTAGAAAAGGAATAATTATATATTTAGAATCAAGAGAGAGAATGTTTTTTGACTTGTCGCGCGGAAAGGACATTCTGTTTAGATTGCATATTCAACCACATAATTTACCCAAAAGGTGTATATTTCTGTTCTGTTTTTGAAATAGAGAACAGGAGAAAATGTCATTTTCATCACGCGTTCTTTGAAAATCCGCCATATCATGCACGTGAACTTGGAACGAGTATAACGTAGAGAAGCGCAATCATACTTTCCTCCCTGATGCGATGATGATGTTGTCTTCGCTTCTACGAGAAGGTGAATTCTTTTGCATATCAAAAGAAAATCTTTCTCGTCCCTGTATCACATTGTTCTTTCCTTATCATAGTCTTTTACTATCTGTGCTATATTTCGTTCGCAAGCAATTGATACCTGCGTATATATTTTTGTTACAAAAAACGTCCTGAAAAATCCATGCAAGTTTGCACCCTTCCGAGAGCCATGAGTTTTTTTTGAGAGTCCCCTTGCCCGCCCATATCCGCGGGCAACACCAGCATGCCAGCGGTGAGCATTACTCAAGCACACCAGACCCGGTTATGGATAGTTGTTTAGGATCACATTTAAAAAGAGAACAACTTTTTATATTTAATTATTAATTACTGAATTACTCCAAAACTGTGCATTTTAGACGTGATACCGAGGATCAGTCAAACGCTTCAGATCATAGCCCACACTATGTCAGAATATAAAGGGGGTATAGGGCACTGCCGAATAGCAGTTTCATCAGCCCAATATCTTTCCTGCAGTTGCCACGGTTCTGAAACCCTCTCTAGTCATCAACCGCAGCTCTGGACAGAAGGCTAGTCTGGCGCAGAGTTATTTTGCCCAATTATTTGAGCTCTCCATACACACTCGCTAACTACTACTAGCTTTCCGAAAAGCGATGAGGATTAGCAGGAGACGTTTATTATACATCACAACGTAGTGGATGTGCTATCGGACGGGGTGATCCGGGGCACCAAGGTATAAGTAACTTGCCTGAGATTATTACATGACTTTGCTGGCGCCGAGGTCCGAACACAGTACTTTTGAAGTACTTGATGAACCACATAACCATCAAGCCATGTTGCCTCAATTAAATGGTCACCATCTATTTCGACGCATTAAATTAGCTGAAGATCTCTGTCGTCACAAATCTGCTCTCTATTCATCTGCTTAATAAAAAGTTTCTAACGAATAACCGAATTTATTATTGTAAAGATGCGGATAGTCGGGCTTATTTGCGAAAAAAGGTGTAACGTTGTGGCGTTTAACGAATTAACACTTGGTATGTATATTCCCCATTGTTCTCTTGTCTTTTATACATGTTTTGAACTTAGAACCGCGGAGCAGAGAAATAGCGCCAAACATGAAAGATAGTGATTTTGGTAATTAATCCTTTTTTTTACGTAATAACTACGTGCTTATTTCGGTCAACTCATGCGCTAGCTGCAAGAACATTATGCATAATGTCTGCTGGGCATAAAGAATCTCTCACTAACGGGGGACGGTACAACAAAATACTTGCTTTACGGCTTAAACGCGCGTGACGGAATTACATATTTTCAACTTTTGAGCTGCATTTCTCCTCGAATACTGAACAGAAGTTGACAAAATTTTTATCAAAAACGTATGGTAGGATGCTCAGTTTGTGGTAAAAGTTTCAAGCGAATCAATTCAGTAGAACCATTTTTAAAAGCAGAATAGATGTCGTGACGAAATTATTTTTAGAATTTTTTTCCGGTGCTCTGCGAACTTTGAAAAATGTTCTGAAATGGAACATTTTTAGAACAAAAGCTCAATATAAAGGTTGTAGAGCTTAAAAAAAGCTTTCGAAGCATTTATTTGTTTTTGCTGAAAAATGCTCAAGTGAAATAAAACGAGCGAAATGGCACCGTGACGGAATTACATCAATGTTTCCTGTTCTTTTGCGGTGGGTTGTTTTTGCTTCCCTTTTCGGCTTATATAAGAGAGATTCGTCCTATTTTTGATCGTTGCTTGAACTTTTTATAAGGATATCTAGAACTCTTTATTTTTTAAACACATTCACTGATAACAAAAATAGCATAGTGATTTTTTTTAGGCCGCATGAAATTAAAACACATCGAAAGCACTTTATCTCGATCGAGAACCGTAACCGAATGAGTTTTCTGACTGTTTGGAACACTTTTCACCCGTTCTAAAATCGGTTTTAATTCTTTTTTAGCCGATTGAATTTCACTGGAAAGAGTTTCTTCGAGAATGACGGACGAGTTTTTGTTCTGTACAAGTTGAACAAAATTGGATGCATTCGCATACTTCTTGCCAGCCATCACATCCTGATAAACGCTTTACAATACCACCTATCGCGTTCACCACTCCTGTAAAGAAAACTCATTCCAAATGACAAGCCCTTTCAAAAATGCGCAGATCTTACCTTTTCCGTGACTAGTGGCAAAAAGCTGCCAAAACGATGGGTCGTCCGAAACGAAAGCAAACGAGCACGAATTTTGCCCACACCAAGCATGTGCGGTAAATATCGAGACTTGACGTTTCGAAAAGTGAGCTGACTGAATCTCGTTTTGATCGATAATCCCAAAATTTTCTGCGTATCGACTTAACAGAGAACTGTTTGATCATCGGCATCCGATTTACACGATTCGAAATATTCCGATTGTCGTCGTTTTATGAAGACGTGAAACAAAAACTGATCGACTTTGCTCTCAAGAATCTTTAAACATTGCTTGACTGTTCCATTGAAATCTTTCTTTATTACAGGTTTTGCCTCATGAATCCACAACGATCTTTGAGGACGGATTTTCTTGGCGGAACAATTGATAGGCTTCGTTCAGCGTATATAACAGATAGCGCTTCTGGTAACTGACTCTGTTGCCATTCTCCGATACTGTTACGCTCTCTCTTTTCCCTGGTGTCTGAACAGAAATGTCGCCACGTGTGAAGAACTTGATGACGTTGTCGATTGTAATGCCGAAAGACTTTTCAAAGCACGAGATTGTGTAGGTTGTAATACAAAACCAAATTTCTGTGCAATCAACAAAATGAGCTCGTTTTGTTTCTCTTTGTTGATCGGAAGGTTATTCAGAACTTTCCTTAACGCTTTCCCTTTCGCCTGTCGAGAAGGAAACGCGGATTTTGTGTTATCGAACGATATAGACGGTTTTTTTTTTCGATTTGCGATGACGACGAACATTAGCAGCCGTAGCAATTCTCAATCGCTTCAGTTCACAAGGCTGTAACAAAAAACGGCGCTTTCGTTTGCGAACTCGATCTTTTTTCTTTATCAAATCGTGTAAGCTTTTTACGCTTCTCGCTGTAGCGTCTCGAACGTTCAGCTGTTGCCAATGGCATGACTATTATTTTGATATTCTTGTTTCTGACGTTTGGTCTGAAAGTCACAGCGAAAGCAAATACCGAAAAATTCTTTTTCCTGGTGTTCGGAAATAGAAATTCCAAGTTTTCATGACGGAATTACATCAGAAATGCGGTGGGTTTACGAGGCAATTTTTCCTGAACCCGAGCAGCAGAACCTAAAACCAAGGTGACCATTGGAAAGAGCAGATCATTTGCTACCGGGACGCATATTTTTCTTTCGACTAATGCTTGATTGGAGAACAGAACATGCATCTAAGTAAAAGCGTTCATTAGATACATATTTCTTACTATTGGCCGACCAATAGAATCGCTTATCGCTGCATACGTGATGTCACTTTATGACACTGAAAATGTCGCATTTATACGTTTTCGATATCGCTCTTTAAAACGGCATTAGCAGATTTCTATAGTTCCAGCCTTCAATCCACCGCAACAGAGGGTGACAGTTACGCGTTTTAGCTGTTTAGCGAAGAGCGTGGCTCAACAATCAAGAGAAAGTTCTTTTTTTCTTCTTGTTAATACTTTAACTTCAAAGAAAGTAGAAAATATTATTCCTCAGCTCAAGAAATCTTATTTTTTGTGCTTGATATTAACATTCTCAGTTCAGGAATACCAAAAGACAAGTTTTAGAAGCAAGAAAACTTCCTCTAGAAACATGCTTTTTGAGGCAGAAAACTGATTTCACCGTGTTTTACCCAGTTTTCTCTTCAGGAACATAATACAATCAAGATGAAACCATTCACCTGCGTTTGACTTAGAAACTGCACTAAAATTAAGTGTACAGCAATTTGATTTCTACAACTATCACACTCTTTCTCATTTACTGTGTAAATTATGTAGAAGATTTTGGACAACATTAATGGCATACAATGATGGTAAAGATTACAAACAAGTATTGCAAATGTTTTTTCAAGTTTATGCAAGGACAATATTACTTCTCATCGAAAAATCGTGAACACTAATTTGGACAAGTACTTTCTACTTTTATATCTGTTGTTGCTTCTATTTTTTCTTTAGCATTTTTGAAATATTGAAATAATCAATCCTGAAAGTTTTTCAGAAACCTTCTAGAAACCCGCTGGAAATCCTGGAACTTTTAACATTGGATTCAGAATGCTTTTTTATCTATACTCTGCTAATTTGAGTGAATTCTGTTGAAAAATAAGAAACTAAGAAAAAAATCACTTGACCGATTATAGGTGAAAAAGCGTTCGTTTTGAAAAAAAAATTATATCTCAGCAAAGAAACAGAAATTCAAAAAAGTGACTCTATAACTTTGTGTTACGTTTGATGGCGGTTCTAATGGCGTAAGAATGAAGGGTCTATCTCTCGACCTGATGGGCTTGCAAGCGGAGAATATCTAATTTGAGACCTTTAAAGTATGACGAGGAGGGGAGCACTTTTTACACCTGCTGAACCTTCGGAGATAGTCTATGATATGGAGTTTTTCACGATGATTCCGAAAAACATATTCCGAAGGTTTCACGACTTTGTGAAGTCGAGATATCGCATGTTTTTCAGAATGTTGCGATTTTTTAAAAAAATGGAGTCGTCCAATTTTTTCTCAGTAAAAACGCACACTAAAAATTTTTTAACTAACATATTCATGATCAGCGCAAAATTGTGCATCGAATGAGGTATATTTGAGCGAAAAATAATATAGTGGTCGACGTTTGAATTTGGAGCACCTTACTACTATAACCTTATCATTCAACTTATTCAAGTTGGTATATCACTCTTATATATGTGTGTGTGTTTTCTCTTCTCATGAGATATCACATGTCTTTTCTCTAAAGTATATCGTATAATAATTGTACAACACAATAAAAAGAGATCGACTCTAAATATATAGAGCAACAAAATACTGACGAGATCCAGTGTTTGGCTGATAATCTCGCCCAAGAATACCAGAATGCGTTGTTTTCATCAACGCTCAAACAGGCCTGTCGTCAAATGTTGCAACCATTCGGTGTATATTCAAATAATCCTGAGCAAGAACAGGGAGACAAGAAAATGCACCAAGTAATACTTAAGTTTTGTCGACACATGTTAGAAAACGCGCTGAAGCACCTAATCAATAAGAATCTTGTTTTCTTCCATTTAGCATTCTCAACGAACTTTTTATTTCATATTCGGATTCTACTATCAAAACTGGGGTTTTTTGACTTATTCTGGCTGAGTTATAGAATTTATAAAATGAGCACCATCGTCGATCTGCGAAAAGTAGCCATCTCTGATATTTTGACTATAAGTCCGCCATTTTTTATTCGTTCTGTTCGAGCAATATTTCATTCGAAAGCCGGATAAAAAGTAAACAAGATCACGTAGTTCCTAATTTTCTGAACTATGAAGTGACTGTTTAAAACCCACATCAATTGGAGACTTGGGATTCTGAAGGATCAAAATTTTCGAGAAAATGCCACGTTCGACGCTTCAAACAGAATCGATAATAATAAAGTCAGAAAACCCCAGTTTTGATTGTAGAATCCGAATATGAAATAAAAGGTATATGTCAATTTTTCACTGGTGACCGGTCTTTGGCAAGATACTCGATCGACTAGCGAAGTCTCTCTTAATAATTAGTATGTGCTGGATACGCTCGAACATAATCTATAGTGAAGAAAGAAAGATATGGCAGACAACATGTAATATTTCTGATCCTTTTATAATGGAAATGCTGTTTTACGCGAACCACAAAAGCAGAAATGGAACAAAACGAATCTGAATGATTAATACTTTAGTATGATTTTTGAAAAAAATATCTTCCCTTCATCTAAATATCATCTGATTCCTACTGTGCCCTTTATGTTCAAGTATGTTGAAGAATAAGATAAAAATGTTTTTATCCTACAGACGGACTTTTAGTAAAAGGAGCAAAGGAGCCTATAACCAAACTATTTTATTGAGGACAGACGACAAAAAAGAATACACAGTCTTCTCTTTATTGGAAAATCATTTGAGAAGTGTAAAATCATTAGTACGGTTATATGGTTAATTATAAATGAAGAGTAAATAAAGAGTAAAGGAACACGACCGTAGCATTAAAACTAAGAAATAAAAACTGTTTTATTCACGTTGTTAAGATTTATTCATCCTCGACATAGCGACGTCATCACCCCAACTTTGATCAACGAAACAGACACTCGATATCGATTTCTTGTTATTGTCAACAGCACGAAAGAGAATCATGACGATCACTAGTAAGAGGAATTCTAATATGTGCCAACATGTTTTTTCAACCTAGAAACAAAGAAACTATATTTCAGAACCTTTTGTTAAATCGTTTACTGACTAACCGACAATCCCATCCATTGTAAAATACATGTCTCGTTGCTCATTGTCCAAGTTATTAACAAGTACGTTAAAAGTAACATATAGCCCACAGTCATGAATAAAATTGAGCATTTAAACCAGTACAACAAATTTCTTTTCGCACCATCTTTCACATGAGCTAATAATTTTCTTGTACTCTCACAACAACGTACTATCCAGATGCAATAAGCAAGTTCCAGTATGACCAACGGTGCACGAGAGTGGAATACTGGATTGATTATTTCATTATGTGTTTGATAGAGGAAGAAAAGATACTCGATCATGACCATCATGAAATAAAATATACCCGCACAAATGACCTTTTGTCTGATGGGGTCAAACCGAGGTTGGATGATTTCAAAACCGAGTGCAATACTTGCTGTTAGCATTCGAAATACGGTACGCTTTACACAAGATAGAACTGCGGCTGTAGCAAGGACGTTTTGAATAACGTAACCAAAAGAATTTGCCGTGTAGTATAGAACGAAAAGTAACAACGCTTCTATTGTAGCGAAAAGAATGAGATTACCGATCCAAAAATGAATGCACAATGGTTCGTTCCTGCAGAAGACCGGAAGAGAGTGAAAACTTTTTTCTGTGTTATCGTCATACCGTGCGTAATAATATCTTGAAGACCAAAATAAAATGAATAAGACATTAATAAAACACATTATAGTAAAAAAGATCAACAATGGATATTCATCAGCTGAAAAAAGACACGATAACATAAAATCAGTAGTACTTTTCACAAAAATATTCACCTGATAAATAACCACGATCTGATTTCATAGATACGATGAGATCAATATCTAGATAAAAACTGCTTGTATATCGCAACTGCGGCTGTTGAAATTTAATAACGTAATAACCATCATTCCATGTTGTAAGAGCCTGATTAATCACAGCTGTTTGTACATCACTGTTACTGAGAGCAAGATGCACATCTAGAAAACATCAATTGTCATGCTGTTTTCTGCGCTGTACGCAAGAATCAGATAACAAGATCTTGGAAGATCTTACAAGAACATGTATAATCTTGGAGGATCCTGTGATAAGAAATCACAAGATTTCACAAGAATTTATATGTTTTTATCAATTTCTTATAAGATTTTACACAAGATTTTATATGACATCTTGCAGCAAGATTCTTATGAGATTTTTCTTATGATAGGAATGTACAAGATTTGATGTGATTTTATAAGAATTCATCTGATCGTACAAGATCATACGCTTAATCATTCGCTGTCGAATCCCTCTATACCTCTGCAGTCTCCTTTTCTATATACTTTCTAACATTCGCAGGTCCTAGGCGGCCATAGAACCGTCTTTTATCACGTTCCTTTACCATGCAGTTATTATGTGCTCAGCTGACAAGTGATGAAAAGATAAAGCGTTTCAAGTCTTTTAAAGAGAAAGATGTTATATACATACTGTATATCGTCGCAAAATTTATCTGGTAGAGATGAGTCATCAATCTTCTAGGATTTTACAAAGTCTTGTGTCAGACACTGTGTGACGTCTACATAGTTTCTTGTCACAAGGTTATATAAGATCTTACACGATCTTGTCACTTCTAATCAGATGTTGTAAGACCATATCGTAAGTTCTTGGTATAAGATTTCACAAGAAAACATCACATTCCGGAAGGTCTTACAAGACGTAGGTCATCTGGGTATGTCAAACACATGAACCATATCTGTACAGTAATTCATTTTTGAGAAAAGACAGTGTAAATATAGTCTGTGTAAAGTTTAGGATGTAACTAACATTCATTTTCTTCCAAATTCATTGTTTCCATCTTCTGAGTAGTTTATTTATTGTTTGGAAGTCTCTTTTTAGGCGCCTATAATCAACTACGCAAGAAAACTCAATAGTAGTACGCACGTTTGTATTGCTTGTAAGAGTTTTGCACATCACTTATATTTGTAAGCTGCACAAGCTGTCCTGAAGAATCACATCCTGTTTGTGCAATTGTAAATGTTTTCACTTCCATAAATTTCCTCAACTCATCGTTCGGTTTTATCCACGTTGCTGAAGGATCGTCTCCCGATGTCACGGGTAAACACAAAGGAACACGACTGATATTACCATTGATTGTGATGCCTAAAATGATCATGCTAAGAGAGGAAAATTAAGAAATCTGTGCCGTACTCACCGATAGTTGATGATTCTGAATCAGTCATTTTCATCGATTTTTTCTTGTCGCGTAGTATGTCGTACGTGCCATTTATCGTCGGTGATCGACAAATGATTTTGAACTTGATCTTTGTGTTAGCATACAAAACTCGTTCGACTGCAGCACGATCATTGTCTTTCAACGACAAGGAAACGAGTCCATTGGACAAATCACATGTGCAAAAAGGATTGGTGAAGTAGAAGATCAAAGATAATGACAAAATTACATTCATACTCTTTGATTTAGCTGAGTACTGAAAATATTATTTGGTTTCATGTATGAAGACTTTTCTATAAAAATATTCACTAGGAATGTAACGAAAAAGAAAAAAGAAATAATAATAGTTATTTTATACTTCGACGAGAAAAAATGGAAGTAAAATTCCACTCTTTAATCCACAAGGAAAGCAAAAAAAGTATGACTTCTGAAGGTATTTGTGAAATATACTATTACTATCAGTTTTATTTAAGGAAAAAGAACTTTCAACACAGTATAGATGGCAAAACGAAAGAGGAATTAACCTAGACATCACTTTGGCTGTTTGTGCAGATAACAACTGCTGGCATTTCAGTAGCGAGGATAGTACTCATTCTTTATACAGACAAAAGAGAAAACACACTCATATGTTAGGGATCACTCAAATAGTCTGAGTAACGTCTCGTATGTCAACATATATCAGGTATTTTTTGTTCTCTTTCTTTTTTTCTATTCTTTTACTTCAAATCGCGCGACTGTCTTTTTCTTGTTCGTTACGTATATATTAAATACATTGTCCACCTCCTTGTCTATATTTTTACAAGATTCTCATTTCTTGCCGTTGCAGACAAGAAGTCTTATCCTGATATAGATTAGGCATGATTCTTGTATTTCTTTTTCAATATTTTTTCAACATTGTTTAATCAATACTAAGAAACTCGAAATACCAGATAGGTGACCAATCTCAACAAAAATTTGACAAGTTCACTTTCACCTCATATCAAACAACAACGCATATGTAAACAATTTTCTGATAAATCAGAAACCGGGAAATACGCATATTCGTTCTAATCAACCAAAATTCAAATAGTTTTAATTGACAAGGAGAACAAAGAAGCTTGTGCTTATTCACTTATTATTGAAGTTGTTACGCATGGACTCTTCTATGTTTTAGACAAAAAACACAACTAGTCTTATAAGCGAAACAGAATACAGAAGGAAACCTCACCATGAACACACATGTTCCGTATTGAAAGAGATAGTCTCTTATTTGCATAACTTAGCCCTCATCAAGTAGTAGAAGAAAAACCCCTTAAGTTTACCAAAAACGTTTTTAAGTTATATAATTGGAAGAAGCACAAAAGTCTGAACAAAATGAGGTATTACTCATAGTTTTTCAGTTTTTCTAAGCCATAAATTCGACAACCTAAACATTAGGTTTTTATAGTAAACTATAATTGCTTGAACATCTGTTATTTTCTCGCCTTTTTAAAGATCCTCGAACTTTCATCGATTGATAGAAGAGACTTGGTGACATCTTTTTACAAGCACAAAAATCCACAAAGTTGGTTCTCCAAGAGGATTTTCTGGAGGGCTTGTGGGAAAATGTATGGCTTTTCTACTATATAGATAATCCACAGTGGCTTTTTCATAATGAAAGTCAAGTGAGACCTTGATTTATAGCGATTCGAACGTGCAATTGGATTTTGCTGGAGTCGCAGGACTGGCATCCACTAGCTTGAGGTGGCCCTGAATTTAATCGATCATGCTTAATCTAACGACAATGTGTTGATCTTGGAAAAAGCATGACTCTTGAAAAACCGATTTTATAAATCATTTTGCTTAAGAAAAGATACCACCAAGTCTACTCTTTCTAATGATGAAAATCGCAGGTCGTTATATTATTGTTATATTATTGAATAAAGGACCATTCGTTTTTTTCCAGAAACAAAAACTAAAACTCACTAAGGCTTCATATTTTCAGAATTGATTGGAAACTCCATGGAGCACTGTTTCGTTTTTATTTCTCGTTTTCAAGTATAGGCATTCACCAGTTTTCCGTAAAACTCGGTTTTTCATTGTGCCACATTACGACTCCCTTAAATTTCATCCGATCGAGTTTAAAATTTTACCATAAGTACTCAAGATCATAGCGCGGAGGTATAATTTTGGAATTTCCTTTCACAAATCCATTTTTCACTATTTTTGTCGAAAATTAAAAAATTCATAACTAAGTTAAAATTGTCTCAAACTGCTTCGCAATATCACATATATATACCACTCTACTTGACTCGAGAAAGCTTTCCATATACACTTCAAAACGTTCTTTCCTTGAATTTTTTTGGGTTGTTTTGAAGTTTTTTTTTACTTTTTTTTGGGTTTACTTTTGAAATTTTTTGACGTTTTTACACTAAAAACTAAACACACATTCTCTCTTTCCGCCAAACGTAATTATTCTTGAAGATAAAGAAGAAAAAAGAACATGACAGAAAAAGGTGTATGTGTCTCAAAGAAAAGTCGAAATATGTGCCATGAACAGTGATAATAGAAGAAGAAGAATTTGTAGAAAATGTAAATGCCTAAGCGAGTTTCGAGTTAGAAATTTCGAGTCAGTCTGCTTGCCTCCTCGATTATCTTCTGTGAATGTAGTGAGATCACCCAAAACAAAACTTTCGGCCCATTTGTGTGCATTGACACATCGATAAGCTCCGATAGAGGCTAAAATATCATCAACCATTTCTCAACGAAGATTCAAATGTCGAAGAAGAGTATAGATGAGAACTGATAGATTTCGTGATCCGCTTTGATTCTTGCATAGTTCGAATAGGTCGGCAATTGTTGATATATCGATTTTCTCTTTGAATGAAATGTCTTGTGTATCAGGAATAAATTCTTCATCTTCATCATCCTCCTTCTCCAACACACTCATCGTATCAAGCTCTACTTCTTCGAGCTCTTCTTCGGAATATTCAATATCCTCCTCTTCATCTTCTTTTCGAATCTTCGAAGAGGACGCTGAAGCTCGCGCAGACAGAGATTGCGATTTTCGCTTGGTAGACTTTGGCATCGTGAGATAAATATTGCTTGGTGAATAGAAAGACTGGTACTTGTTGTGAACACTGTCTTTAGGATGAGTCAGGAAGTGAAAAAGGGAAAATACACAGAATAGATAGTCGTAGTGGTGGTAGACAGCAGGCGTTTCTGGACTTTTAACGATGAGAAGAACGACTCTTAACTACTCATACGTATCTCTTGGAAGATTAGCTCATCACCCAAACATGTTTTTAACACTTTGTGACCATTGAAAAGTGAAAAGTGCGTGTTCAGGAGAAAAGTGATGAACGTTGTGTGATGGTGCGCCGTAACACATAGAACATGAACGATTTTCTGAGAAGAGGAAAAATTATTTTGAAAGAAACTCGACGTAACTTTGTAGCCCGTGAAATGACGGTTTTAATGGTGTATAATAGTTGGCATTTACTCTCGAAACCAGAGAGGAGATACACCTGGCAGATTGAAAGGTCATTTTTGCCTTTGACGTTCACCCACGCGACAGGGTCAAGCTGAATTTTTTTCAAAAGCACTCGATAATACTCAACTTTTAGTGCTGAATCCAAATAAAATAAAAACAAAATAATTCTAGACAAGTAAAAGGGTGAAATTCTTCGGTTACTCAACGATATTTTCAGAATTGATTGGAAGCTCCATGGAGCACTGTTTCGTTTTTATTTCTCGTTTTCAAGTATAGGCATTCACCAGTTTTCCGTAAAACTCGGTTTTTCATTGTGCCACATTACGACTCCCTTAAATTTGATCCGATCGAGTTTAAAATTTTACCATAAGTACTCAAGATCATAGCGCGGAGGTATAATTTTGGAATTTCCTTCACAAATCCATTTTTCACTATTTTTGTCGAAAATTAAAAAATTCATAACTAAGTCAAAATTGTCTCAAACTGCTTCAGAATATCAACTTACACTCCATTTTGTGTGTGCTACACCATGAACTTCCATACCAGTTTCAAATACCAACAGAAAGTACTTTGTTTTTTGAAAAGTTTTACAGAAAGCTTTGAAAATACGGAATTTCTACTACGAAAAATACGTTTAAGCACATAAAATGGAGTATATGTTGATATTCTGAAGCAGTTTGAGACAATTTTGACTGAGTTATGAATCTTTTAATTTTCGGCGAAAATAGTGAAAGATGGATTATTTCGCCAAGTAAAGATTTCCACCAAGTTTTGTAAGCTTTTTAGAAAAACAAACATTGTCATAAGATTCAGCGTGATTGATACTCTATTTTCCATGTGTTTTAAAAGCTCCCAGATATGAATTTTTGCCGATGGGTAGGTCCTTGGAAAATGCTTATAGCTCCCGAACCATGTGGAGTAAAAATTTGGGACCTGTGTAGTTTTAAAAGTTTTCCACAATAACTTTTAGATAAAAGAAAGTACGCTATACAATGTCTGTATGGGCGTTTGACTTCAACGTCGATGACTGTTCTAAGAAAAAAGTACCCCGTTAAATGGAGAGCAGACAATTTTTCCAAACGTACCTAGTTCTTTGTGTGAGGAGCTAGAGCCATTGTTTGTAAGTTAGTCTTACATTAAAAGATTCTATAGCAGCTCGGCTTCAAAAGTACATCGAATTATTCTTGAAACTCTCTTTCATTGCAGAGAAAATTCATTTTTACTAAATCAGAGACGAAAAACTTGAAATTCTATCCATAATTCAATTTTTCCCATCCGAACTCAACTTCTATGTAACAAAACTATCATATTCGGAATCAGGATCGAAAACTGAGTGGATTGATGAGCATTTCGAAATTTATAGTTGATTTTCATTTTTTGGCGAACATAATTACTTTTCAACGCGAAGATTCCAAAAATTTGAGTACTCGGATAGGACAAAGATATACATCAATCGATTCAGTTTTCGATCCTGATTCCGAATATGATATTTTTATTACATAGAAGTTGAGTTCAGATGGAGAAAATTGAGAATTACCGGCAGAATTGCGAGTTTTTCGTTTCTGATTTAGAAAAAATGAATTTTCTCAGCAATGAAAGAGAATTTCAAAAAAAGCTCGAGGTACTTTTGAAGCGGGGCTTCTAGAGAATCTTTTAATGTACAAACAACGGCTCTAGCACTCTACATAAAGAAATAGATATGTTGGAAGAATTGTCTTCCCTCCTTAGGACTGTGAAGTAGCGACGTCGCTGATTGACGGGCATTTAGTTTTGAAATTGATTTTATGTACTCCACAATGCTACGACCCTGGAAATAAATATATTATCTATTCTTTTCCTTCCAAGCTAGAAAAACACCATTATAGTAATGATGTACATGTAAACTTCGCAAACCTATTTAGTTTTTTGTGAAAGGTCGTAGAGTCTTAATTCACACATGGTTAGATACGCCGTTAAATAAGCTTCAAAACAACGGCTCGCTTTTCCCGAAATTCCATTTCCTCGCTGAGAAAATTCATTTTTTCTAGATTAGAAGCGAGAAAATCGAAATACTGCCCGTAATTCTCATTTTCTCCAGCAGGACTCCTTTATTATGCAGTAAAAATACCATATTCAGAATCGCTATCAAAAACTGAATCGAATCATATACATTCGTTGATTTTCATTTTTTTCGAATTTTCACGGCGAAAAGTTCCTGAGATTTTGAAAAAAGCAAAAGGAATTTCGGGAAAAGCAAGGCGTTGTTTTGAAGCTTATTTAACGCCGCATCTAACCATGTGTGAATTAAGGCTCTACGACCTTCCACAAAAACTAGATAGGTTTGCGAAGTTTGCATGTACGCCCTGACCTGTCTCAGTTTCGGGTTCGCAAAAAATTTAGTTTTCGGTCTGAAACTTTGAAAAGCATATGGCTGGATTCAGTTTTCAATGCTGAATCTGAAAATTCCAACTATAGAGCTCTACGACGTTTTACGGCGAAATGAAAGAGCTTTTTCTAAAAGCGGGTGTTTTTCCGGTTTTCAGATCATCTCAAGTTTCCTCGATTTTTCGACGGGGAAAAGTCTCCTAAAAATCTGGGAACCACATATTCGTGATCGCCGTTGAATTCTCTACCGAGTGGTGTATAAATCAGCGTAATCTATTTTTAACGGGAAGTGTGCCTTATCGGCATCTTACGTTGCTTCGCTTTCAAATTCATTCCATTCTTCATCTATTTCTTCATTTATAGGCATTAATTCTATAATAGCAAATTACAGCCGTCAGTTAACTCAGTACATAGGACTCTACAAAAACCTAACTGAATTTGTGCATTTCACTTCGTTTAAATCCGTGACATGCCCGTTTGATTAATAAAGTGATATAAATTAAAATTGTCAACAGTGGATAGGCACATGATAGACTGTTAAAATATTCCCGTATAAATTGATAACGTTGATAACGCCAAAGATATTTTGTATTCTGTTGGGCCTTTTGAGTTGTACCACTACAAGAAAGCTAGAGGTGACTTTCACGCATATTTTGCTTTAGAAAATCCAGTTAGTGTCTGCTGCAACTTCTACATACGTAAAAGCAGCAATAATCAAATTCAATAAAAGTATATTAACTATGGGGCTACGGGAACTGGGACAATAGTCGTTAACATGTACTATTAAGTAAAACAAGTTTCATAGTAGATAACATTATATTTTTCGAATGTTTATTTTTCACCTACATCGCTACTAATTATTCTTATTATTAAATCAAGTTTGAATTTAAAATACTTTTTCTTCTGTACTATAAAGTGTTTGGAGATAATACCTATGAAATAACGAACAATAATGTGGCTTCTCTTACATATCGCATAAGTTTATATACATGCGTTCGAAACGGAGGGAATTGATAATATGTCAGATAAGGAGCAAATCTGAAGGACTTGTCTGAAAACTGACTGAAATAATTTAAGCTACTTAGTATCAACTGATAGTGCAGAACTAAAAACTTGAACCTAGATGCTTCTTTCTTGAGAAACTTTAATTTGTTTACACAAACCAAAAATTAATTTTCCGGTATATGTGCTGGAATAATTTTCTTCCATATTAAGTAACAAGAATATCACTTCCCTGCATTTTTTCCACGGGTGACATACTTTCAACTAGAGTACAGGGTCGCAATATAGAAAGTACACATTAAAGCATCGTCTATTTTACTCAATTACTTTAACATTAACTTATTAATAATGCACATGTAATAGCTTCATACGTTGTATTTTCAGAAATTTGTCATTGAATGTTCAAACCATACAGCGAACACAATCAAGATATTACTCAAACGCGAGAAGCATCTCTCGATTTTCGTTACTCCGTAGCGTTTATTTTTTAGATCCATATAAACATGTGCGCACTCTTTTGTATAAGTGTGAAAAAACAAACTGTATGCTGATCTTCGAATGCGAGAGTGTAAATAGTTGTGTAAACAGTGACCAGTGGATGTAACTAGCAGCGTTAAAATCTCCGTCCGTCTCCTCTCTGTCTTTGTTCATACATGTAACGTTATTTTTTCGGTCAGTAGAGATACCGGTTTTTTGTTTGCTAATAAACAACAACATTTCCTATTCGGCGTGGCCAGCCAACTCTGCTACCGTACAGGAATTCCGTAACGTTTTTTCATCATTTTGTTTTGTTTTGTTTATAAATCATAAATCAAATGACGCAGACAGCTACGGCACGTCTTAAATTGAAGAAAAACCTCTATGTACATTTTAAACAGCATCTCAGCTCTATAACATGTCTCATTTTAAACATCTGATAGAAACACTGGCAACTACTTTTCTCACGTTGAAACTTTGCAGAATCGAAAAGTAGTTGCCAGTATTGCTACCAGAACTTTAAACGAGACATGTTACAATGCTGATACGCGTTTTAAAATGTTCATAGGAGTTTTTCTTCAATTTAGGACGTGTTGCAGCTATCTGCGTCATTTGATTTACGATTTATAACCAAAGCAAAATGATGAAAAAACATTACGGAATTCCTGTACGGTAGCAGAGTTACTTGGCAGCAATTTAGAATATTGTAAATTTCTCGAAGACATGATAATGGTACACACTTTTTGTTTGAC